CCTCGTCGAACCCACCACCATCCCCTTTCTCCTCTCCTATCTGTCTTGTGTGGGCTAGTTCCATTTCACGCTGACACGCTAATCTTGAAAACGTCCAACGGAGCTCCGTGTTGCTCCCAGCGCCCTCCCCCGCGCTTCCTGCGGCCATGGCCGATGATACTAGTATGAGAGGTCATCTGGCTACCGCGAGCGCGACTCAACTCGCCGACGTCGTCCGATGATTGTGCCTCAAAGTCAGCCTCCGGAGGCTATCGTGGGGTCGAGCCGGCAGTAGCCGTGACATGTGGTTCCACCACCCCTCGTATGCTTTGCCTCTGACCGCCACCGTTCCCAGGCTGCCAAATGGGATGGAAAGGAAGGCTCGGCGAGCGTATAGAAGCGTGCTCGACCTCGTCGTGGCAACCTGCACGGCAGCGCTGGTAGGCGATATGAGCGTCGTGCCACCTGACCCGAGACGGGTCGCAGGCGTCGTACCGAGCGCGTCGAGACCGTGTCCTGATGTGATCTGCACGGGTGAGTCACGTCGGCGTCAAAGGAGCGACGTGCGACCTGTCAGAGCTTGATCTCCGATCTCAGCGGCGTCGAGTCGTCTCCGGCGCGCGACAAAGGTACATCCCCAGGACGCGCAAAGGCAGCTGCGATCGGTGATACTGCTCTGACAGGTCGCACGTCGCTCCTTTGACGCCGACGTGACTCACCCGTGCAGATCACATCAGGACACGGTCTCGACGCGCTCGGTACGACGCCTGCGACCGGTCTCGGGTCAGGTGGCACGACGCTCATCGCGCCTACCAGCGCTGCCGTGCAGGTTGCCACGACGAGGTCGAGCACGCTTCTATACGCTCGCCCAGCCTCCCTTTCCATCCCATTAGGCAGCATGGGAACGGTGGCGAGCAGAGGCAAAGCCTACGAGGGGTGGTGGAACCACATGTCGCGGCTACTGCCGGCTCGACCCCACGATAGCCTCCGAAGGCTGACTTTGAGGCACCATCATCGGACGATGTCGACGAGTTGGGTCGCTCTCGCGGTAGCCAGGTAGCCCCCCATACTAGTAGCACCGGCCATGGCCGCAGGAAGCTCGGGGGAGGGCGCTGGGAGCAACACGGAGCTCCGTTGGACGCGTTTTCAAGATTAGCGTGTCAGAGTGAATTGGAACTAGCCCAAGGTATTTTAAGGACGTCACCCAGTCTGTGCTTTATTTTAAGGACGTCACCCAGTCCGCATGCAAGGTATTTTAAGGACGTCACCCAGTCCGCAAGGGTATTTTAAGGACGTCACCCAGTCCGCGAGGAAGACGGAAGTACAATCCTAATGGTACCATTTTGTGGTTTACGGGCGCTACCCAGTCTGCGTTGGGTCGCCCGAAGAGTCCGCGTAGTCGGTCGTCGACGGCGGGCTGAAGTCCGCCCGAAGGCCGCCGTAGCTGCCAAAAAAACGAAGGGGGCGAGAGCCCAACCGGGCTGGAGGCTGGTCCCATCGTCGTCCGGTGCGGCGTTGCGGGCCGGGAGATGCGCGACTGCGGGGAGCTGTGGGAGGAGGTGGTTCTTGGGTACCACCGACGCGTTCCCGGCCGCTGGAAGTCCGAGCCCGTCAGTGCTGGCGGCTCGCGTCCGTCAGCGAGGGCGGCGTCATGCGCATTGAGGGCGTGAGGTGAGTCGGCTCGCGAGGGCGTATGGCGCTTGGCCCCTTGGCCCTTGGCCCCAATCTTCGCTGTCGGGTTCGGCGCTGTTGGCGGTGGGGGGGACCGGTTCGGCGCCTCTTTGCCGGTTGTCGCGCACCATCGACACCAGGGCGCGCATGGGTGCGTGTGGCCCAGCCGCCGTTCATGAAGCCGTGCGGCGGCCCGTTCCAATTTCCTCGGCCGTCGCCGCGTCGCCCCACGTCCACAGCCAGGAGAACGGGGCTCCCCAACCCTGCGACACGATCGTCCGCGGCGGGTCGTCGTAGTCGTAGTCGTAGTCGCTGCTGTTGGGGCCTCCCCGCTCCTCCCCCTCGGTCGGTGGGCGAGGCGCCGTGGTACGCTCGACGTAGCGCGTGTCGTGGAAACCGCGGTTGCCCCAGCGGCGGCAGTCCTCATCTCCGGGCGACGGGACCCACTCGATGGGGAGGCCATGACCGCCGTACCGACGCACGGCAGCGCGCAGCACGTGGCGCGCCTCGTCGGCGATCAGCACGTCGGCAGTGATGGACGGTACGATCTGAAGGCAGCGCGGGAAGATGTAGCGCCCATCAGTCAGGCAGGAGGATGGCCACGGCCCGGCGCAGGCGGCTGTTGTAGCCAACCTCGGCCACTATGACGTGGTCGAGCTCCGCGCTAAGGCCGAAGGGCGCGTCGGCCGGATCGTCCGTTACTAGGACGCACGTCATCCATCTGTGGGCGCCTGGGAACCACTGGTGGAGGCCGCCCCGCTCTGATTCACCGCACTGCCCAACCCCTCGAATCATGCCCGCCAGCCACATGACCAAAGGGAGAGTCGACGCGTCACAGCGCGTCGACACCGCCTTGGACGATCTCATCGCCGCCTACGAAGCCACCGGCGTGGCGGGACACATCACCGTCAAAGTCAGCACCATCACCAGAAAGGGGCGGGTTGGTTTCGGGGTCCCGCCCGAGATGCAGGGCACAGCCGCGAAGGTGCTAGAGCAGGCGGGGCTGGGTGCTCTCAGCAGCTCGACCTTGGGATTTACAGTGCCGCGGGGACAGAAGGAACGGTCGGCGAAGAAGCTGGCAGAGAAGCTCAACACGCTGCACGCGCTGGAGGCAGCGGGCGGCGCAGCTGGCGCGGCAGCGGGCGGCGCTGCGGCGGCCGACGGCGCGGCGGGCGGGTCGACAACGGGCTGGTCGGCGGTGGACGCGGGGGAGGAGGAGGCGGCGGCGGGGTTGGGGCCAGTCGACGCGGAGGAGGAGGAGGCGGAGGAGGCGCAGGGCGGGTCGGCTGCGGACGGCGCGGCGGGCGGCGCGGCGGGCGGCCCGGTGGATGAGGAGGCGCCCGAGGATACGCCCCCCGAGGGCGTGGAGGTGCAGCCACAGGCGGGCGGCACGACAACAGGCGACGTGGTGGCGGGCAATGCAGCAGCAGGTGGCGCAGAGGGAGGCGCGGCGGTCGGCTCCGCTGTGGCGGGCGGAGTGGCGGCGGCTGCAGAGGCGGAGGCGCTGCCAGCCGACCCCGGCGTCCTTCCGAGCCCCGTGCTCTCTGTTGCAGCGCGGGCTCGCGTGCAGAGCGTGCGGTGTACAGACCCCAGCAGCTGGCCGAGCCCCTTGATCTCCGATGCAGCGGCGAGAGCGGCGATGCGGGCGGCACCGACGGCGCCCGCAGCCTCCCCTGCCGGGATTGCCAGCCCGCTGCTCTCCGACGCGCCGGCGCCGGCAGTGGTTGCGGCGCCGCGCGAGCGTGAGGTGGCGTCGGCGGCGGAGGGCGAGATGGAGGTGGCGCGCTTGGAGGAGCCCTCGATGCCCTCGATCGCGGGCGCCGTTTCGTTGCTCGAACCGATGCTGTTGCAGCTCACCACGGTGCAGCCAGAAGCGGCGAGCGGCGCGGCGGGCGGCGCAGGCGATGGCTCCGCGGCGGCGTGCGGAGCGGCGGCGACAGCAGAGGCGGAGGCGCTGCCAGAGGGCGAGGTGGGCCGGGCGGGGCGCTCGGCGGATGTGACGGCGGGGGTGGCGAAAGCCCTAGCGGACCGCCTCGCCTCTGGGCTCGACGCAGCCTCGCCGTCGGATGATGCCGCCGCCGCCGCCAAGCAGTCGTTGCGCGAATTTCTCAGGCCGCAGCCGCAGCCGCAGCCGCAGCAGCCGCAGCCGCAGCAGCCGCAGCCGCAGCCGCAGCCGCCGCCGCCGCCGCCGCAGGTCGTGAGCACACCTCTCGCCCGCCCCCCGCATGCCCCCCTCACATCTCCACCCCGTGTCCTTAGGCTGCCTCCGCTTCCGACCTGCGCTCGCCGCTGGGGGCCTTGTCCCAGGGCAACCACGAGCCGTCGACGGGCGGCTCGTCGCGTGAGGAGTTCTTCACCCCGGGGCAGATGAGCGGCCCCAGGCGGCCGCCGCCTCGGGCGAGCTGCCCTGCGGATGAGCCGTCGATCTCTTTACAAGACGCGCGGGCGTTTGCGCAGCAGCGGTCCCCGCTTTCCCCTTGGTGAATTTCCCGCCGTTTGTTCGTTGTTGCGCTCTGCAGTTGCGCTCGTGACCATGGGGTGAGTCGTGTTGGGGGGGACCAGCTTGAGGTGACGTGGCTGGGTGCAAGGCTCCGGTCGATCCGCTACTCGCTCACGAGGGCGAGGTGACCCGCCAGCACCATCTCTAGCTGCGGGACCCGCGCGGATCGCTGTGGCTGCTCAGGTATGAGAGAGAGAGAGAGAGTTGTTGGTATTCGAGACGCAGCGCAGTCGGACAGCGCGCTCCAGTCTTCCGTCCGGGCGCGCCTCGGCGCCATCAGGCGGAGAGAGCGGCGCGATCGGGTAGCGATGCGCATGAACAAAAGAAGTAGAAGAAGAGTACTGGGGGAAGTGCAAGAGCAAGTGCTTAGGGGGTGGGCCCTCGCTGGGCTTAAAAGGGGGTGGGCCCTCTCTGGGGCGCCTGCGGCTTAAACGGCTTAAAACGGGCCTAGGCCCATTTTAAGGCTGCCTGGGCCGCCGATTTTTAAACGGTCTGCCAGTGCACCAGACTTACAGATGTGTCTTCAGAGGCGGGTTTGTGCCCAATAACGGCAGTATTGGACAATTGGAGAAAACGGCGTGGAACCCTCAACCCAGCGAGACGCATGCCGGCGAGGCCGATTTTCTTAAACGGTCTTAAAAGAGGGACCCCCCGTGCCTGCAATCTCTTAAATGGCAAGTTAAGCCCCCAAAGTTTCTTAAAAGGTCTTAAAAAACCCCGGCCCTCAGAACCCTAGGGGTCCCCTAAGAGCTAAGTGCAAGTGGGATGCGGATCGGGATGGCAGCACGGCCGACAAGGTCGCAAGGCGCGCTGTCTACCCAACGCTCGAGCACGACAACTACGACCCCGGCCCCCTCGCAGAGCGCATCAGGCGCGACAAGCGCGAGGCGTCCGACCGCTCCTCCGACGACTCCTCCTCCGACCAAGACTCATGCGGCTCCGGCTCTACCGCTCTACTCTAGGTCTAGCGAGGCGAATGACATTTTCGACACCCTCGACGACCATCTCGGCTACGGTTCCGACTCCGGCTTCGGCTGGTAGTCGACAAGCTGCCGAGCCGCCCAAATCACTGTGTGTGCCACATTTCTTGTTGGCTTCTAAGAGAGAGAGAGATTTTTAGCAATACCGTTTTTGTTTTGGCTTCTAAAAATCTCAAAAAAAACATTGCTAAAAATCTCTCTGAATAATGACCGATGCGTGTCAGACGACGGTGACCCTTTGTGCTGTCATCCTCCAAAACAACTTCTAAACAAGTGTTAGTGCCAGTGCGCACCAGTCCCGTGCCCAGGAGAGAATGCAAAATTCTGTAAAAAAGAAAAGCCGGCGAGACAATGAATAGCAGCGGCTCACCCGCTGCTCCATCCCATCCTTGTGGGGTGCGACCTGCAGGCACTTTCATGGAGCACAACGCAGCAGCACCGGCCGACGGCGGCGAGCCCGCGCCCGCCGCCGCCGCCGGCAGCGTCGAGCCCGCGGCCGTTGACGCCGGTCGGCTCGTGCCCGCCGACGCCGTCAGCAGCCGAGGGCCCGACCGCGTCCAGGTCTTGTGCGGCACGTTCGGCTGCACGCTCCCAAACAACCACAAGGGCCTCCACCTCATACCCGCCGTTAACAGCGTCCGCCAGCGCCAGCGGCCTGCCGAGATATACTCCGTGGAGCCGCAGGCGGGGGCCAAGTCGCAGGTCGGCGCGTCGCCCGCCGGAAGTGGCAACGCATCGCGGGACAAGTCGCCGGTCAGCAGCCGCAGCGGCATGCCGCCGCCACCCAGCCACGAGGCCAACGGGCGCAAGATCATCACATGTGTGGGGTGCGGCGTCGAGCGCTCGCGCAGCATCCCCGGGAGCAAGCCCGCCGTCTGGCTCTGCGGAGGCGACCGGTGCGCGGGGGAAGGCCCTATCGAGAGCAGCCTGCCGCAGCCTGCCCAGGACCCGTCCGGCGGCGGCGGCGCTCCGGTTGGCAGCAGCGGCGATCGGCCGCAGTGGCAGTGCGTCTACTGCGGCCGCATGCTCATCAACGCGGGCGCAAAGTCGAACCACGAGCGCTGGTGCAAGCAGCAGCAGGAAAGGATGGCGCTGGAGCTGGCGTCCGCTCCCAGCACTCCGCCGCCAGAGCCGGACGCCCCTGAAGAAGACGCGGAGAGCCGCTGGCAGTGCGTCTACTGCGGCCGCGCGCTGTGCAACGCGGGCGCAAAGTCGAACCACGAGCGCTGGTGCAAGCAGCAGCAGGAGAAGCAGGCGCTCGAGGAAGAGGCGGCGGAGGCGGCGGCAGCGCGCAGCTCGCCGTTGCCAGAGCCGGACGCCCCTGAAGAAGACGCGGCGAGCCGCTGGCAGTGCGTCTACTGCGGCCGCATGCTGTGCAACGCGGGCGCAAAGTCGAACCACGAGCGCTGGTGCAAGCAGCAGCAGCACCAGCCGGCGCCCGAAGCGGGGCAACCTTCAGAGGCGGCGGAGGCGGAGGCTGCAGTCGCTCCGGATGAGAGCGGCCGCGCGCTCTGGCAGTGCGTCTACTGCGGCCGGGTGCTCACCAACGCGGGCGCAAAGTCGAACCACGAGCGCTGGTGCCGCAAGGTGCATCTGACGGAGGCGGAGGAGGCGGCGCCGGTGGCAGCGCACGCGCCGGCGACGCCGGAGCCCGTCCTTTGCCAAAAGCGGCCCGACTGCGTGCGGCGGTATCGCCACCCGGGCCTTTGCAAGCCCGCCGGCGGAGGGCGCGGCGGCGGCGTGGGCACGCTCAGCAAAGGACGAGACCGGTGGCAGCAGGAGGCCGGTCGCTCGGTCGCCGCCACTTCGGACGAAGACATCGACCGCCTGAGCAGCCCCGTCTGTCCGATTGCGGAGCAGGAGCCGGTGGCGAGGGAGCCGCGCGTGCTCGCGGAGCGGGTGGCGGCCGGACGGCAGCAGTACCTCGTCCAGGCCGCCGGGCAGGGCCGTTCGCAGGCGGAGTGGGTGGCGGCCAGCCAGGTGACGCTTCCGAGAAGCTTCCACTGCCATCGCCAGCGCTGCACACACGCGTGCAGCGCCGCCCGGACGCTCTCTCGGGCCGCTACTGCTCCGGATGTGCCTGACGACATGCAACGCACCTCCTATTCTCCCCTCCCCTCGCCACCTCTCCTCCCCCCCCCCACCCCCCCACCCCCCACCCCTCCAACCCCCTCCGACCCCCCCACCCCAGGTGCCCGACGCGCGCCTCATCGAGACGTTTTGGGTCGCGGTTCGGGGGAGCCTAGATGCCGCACAGGCTGCCCATGCCTCGCACGTTTCGTGGGCGGCTTTCGTGGTGGACAGTTTCCCCCCCCCCCCCCCGCACGCAGGATTGTCGAGACGCACGGCGAGGACCTCGTGTACGCGCGCGGCTCGTCGCTCCAGCGGGTCGCCGAGGAGGCGGACGAGGCTCTGTCGCCCCTGCCGCTCGAGGAGGGTGGGGGCACGGCCGAGGAGGTGCTCGAGGCGGAGGGTGGAGGGGGTGGCATGACCTCGCAGGGGGCGTTCGCCTGCGACTACTGCGGCCGCCGGCTCGCCACCCGCGGCGCGAAGAACAATCACGAGCGCGCGTGCGCGCGGCTGAACGCCGCCTCAGCCGGAGCCGCGCAGACGCAGTGCCAGCGCCACCCGCTCTGCGTCCGCGGCTACCACCACATGGGCCTCGGGGGGCCGTGCCGCATCCGCGATCCGTCGCTCAAGATGCCGCCGCCGCCGCCGAGCTACCGCGGCGCCAGCGCCAAGCAGCCGCGCCCCGACGACGGCGACGCGCCGCACCGCAACCCGAGCACGACCAACGCGTCGCTCATCGGCCGGCGCATCGAGGTGTTCTGGGCGTCCGAGAAGAAGTGGGTGCACGGGCGCGTCCTCAACTACTCCGCCGAGAATGGCAAGCACACGGTGCAGTACTCGGGCACCGGTGCCCTCGAGCAGCTCACCCTCAAGCGCGAGCGCTGGCGCGCCATCGAAGAGGCTGCAGAGGCGCCGCCGCGGCCGCCGCTGCCGCGGCCGCCGCCCGGCGGGCGCGGCCGCGGCCGCGGCCGCGGCCGCGGCGCCGGTCGCGTTGCTCTGGAGAAGGCTGCGGCCGCCTCGCTCGTCGCCGCCAAGTCGGAGGCCAAGGCGCTGTCAGCGATGGGGCTCTTTCTGACGACGAGCCGGCTGGCGCCGAAGCAGTCGCTGGCGATCCCGGCGCACGCGAAGCTCCGGCTTGCGCTCACCTGCATCAACCCGCACTGCCAGCTGCTCGAGCTGCGCCTGAGGGGCGTCGGCACGCTCGACGCGCAACGCTGGCACCGGCAGCTGCTCCCGAACGCGTGGATCGGAGTGCACGCGACGGACGATGAGCGGCGCGAGCTGGGCCACGCGCTCATCTGCAGGCCGGGATGCCCCCTCGCCTACCCCCCCCCCCCCCCCCCTCTCCCTTCCCTCCCCTCTCCGTCTGCCCGCACCGCCGCTGCTGCCCTCACCGCCACCCGCCGCACCGTAGGCGGCTCGACCCGCTCGCGCGTGCGATACGGATCCAGTCCGATGAGCTGCGCGGCCTGGAGGAAGGGAGGTGCGAGCGCCGCACTTCCGGCGTGGCTGCGCTGGGAGGACGCCGATCACGCCGCGTATATACGGTGAGCAGGTACGTGTTTGCGCTGCACCTGCACTACGAGTGCGCCGCTTCGTCGCGCGAGTGGGGCTTCGTGAATGGTGCGTTCGAGGAGGGGCCCGACGACGACGACGACGAGGAGGAGGAGGACGGGGACGGGGAGGAGGGGGAGGAGGGTGAGGGCGGAGCGGCCCGCGGCGACGACGGCGCGAGTGACGAGGATGAGGTGGCGGGCGACGAAGCAGCCCCGCGCGCCAAGGAGCCGCCCGTGAGCCTTCTCGGCGCCCTCCCACAGGCGGCGGGCGACGAGACGGACCCGAACGCCGATGACGACTCGTTCACGGAGGAGGGCGCGGAGGTTTGGGTGGACGGAGAGGAGGAGTCAGACGAGGACGAGGCACGCCAGAACCCCTCCCGACACACACACACACACACACGCACACGCACACGCACACGCACACACACACACACACACACACACACACACACACACACACACACACACACACACACACACACACACACACACACACACACACACACACACACACACACACACACACACACACACACACACACACACACACACACACACACACACACACACACACACACACACACACACACACACACACACACACACACACACACACACACACACACACACACACACACACACACACACACACACACGGAGAGAGGGGGGGAGAGAGGGGGGACGCGCGCGCACGCACACCTTGCTCGAGCACTCTCTCCCTCCGCCGCTTGCCCCGCTCGACGCTAACCCCCTCTGCCACCGGCCTGCAGGGGCTCCAGGAGGAGGACGCCTTTGACACGCCGGACCACCCGATGCAGACCCCGGAGCAGACCCCAGAGCAGAGCGGCGAAGCGCAGCCGCAGCAGAGGCCCGCCGCGCTCAGCTGCTCCGCCCTCTCGTCCGTCGCCATCTCCGATGCAGAGGAGCTGGCGGGCGAGGCGGCGGCGGGCGAGGCGGCGGCAGGCGTGGCAGGCGTCGCGGCGGCGGCGGGCGGCGAGGTGGTGGCGGCGTGCGAGGCGCCGTTGCCGGTTGGCGAGGCTGCAGCAGGCGAGGCGGCAGCTGGCGAGGCGGCAGCTGGCGAGCCGTCGACGGTGGCCTCTGAGCAGGCTTGCGAGGCGGCGGCGCTGTCGGAGGCAGCGGTGGAAAATGGCGCCTGGGGCGCAGCGCCGCCGGGAGAGGGCACGGAGGAAGGGGGAGAGGGTGAGGGTGAGGAGGGGCTGGAGGGCGAGGAGGGGCCGGAGGGCGACGAGATGGAAGTGGAGGAGCGCAACGGGGGCGAGGAGGCGCCCGATGGGTCGCTTGCGGGCGATGTGCCCATGGTCGACTCCGGGGGGAGGGAGGTGGCGGAAGAGGACGCCAGCGCAGGCGATACGACGGCCGATGGCTTGTCGCTGCCGATGGCCGCGGCTAACGGCAATGGCTGGCCGTATGGGTTCGCGTGAGGAGCCGGCCGACTGCAAGGTGTTGACCCTGGTCGAGTGGAAGCGCGCTTTTGGGGGGGGGGGGGGGGGGGCAGAAGAGAGGGAGGGGCGGCTCCGGGCGGGGTCTGCCAGAGAGCTAATTTGAGCTCCCCATGTCAGTGTTCCCCACATCGACGGCCAGAGAGCGCTTTAATTTGAGCTCCCCATGTCAGTGTGGGCTAAGTCTCAGTATAGTCCGCTCTGAGTACTCTGGACTGAGCCGTTTTCGCTTTTCCTGGGGGCGCGGCCCGCCGGCCCCGGTGGCCGGTGCGGGCCGCCCGGGCCCCGCCCGCGCCCCGCGCGCCCGCCCTTGGGAGCGCTGGTGCTTGGAGCACACACACATCACACACTTATTTGGAGATACTTTAGTGCAGAGTTCCCGCCATCGACCATCGTGCTCGCACGCCCTGTGGCAATGCACATGAGTGGCGCGCTCGCCCCTATTAGCCGTTCCGCACGCGCGCCGCACCGCTGCTTCAGAGCCTCAGCGTGCGCCACAAAGGCACTTGTCGCCGAGGCTCGTCATGTCGGCGCACCGCGTCGAGCGAGTGGTCTCGCACTCTTCCCGCCTAGTTGACCGCCGCTGCCTCGATGGCCTTGCTGACGAGCGCCATCGCCGCAGGCCGCGGGTAAGGCTTGGCATCGGCGAAAGCCTTTGGATTTGCGGCCAGCTTCGTGAACGGATCCGGGTCGGTGAGCTTGTCAAGTATCGCGATGTCGTTCACAACCACCTTGAAGTCGCCTGCAGCGGAGACTTAGGACACGAGTCAGCATTTCGAGTCGGCAACTGCCACGCACAGCGGACAGGCGCGACGAGCAGCGCACCCCGCTCGCCCTCCTGAACGACGACCGAAATGTCGTGATTCTCCCTCAACAAGTCAGCGTACGTCTCGGCATTGGTCTTGTAATGTCACGGCCCGCAGTAATAAACCACCACCTTGACGCCTCTGTCGCACATGCTGGCGATCGCCTCGCTCTCTGGCGTACAGGAGGTGCCTCGTCTTGCCAGGGATCCTACAGCAGATCGAGGCGGCGTTCCGAAAATACGTGGAGGGCGAGAGTGGGATCGAGGAGGTTGCCTGGAGGGGATATGCCCATAGATCTATCGCGCCCAGCTTGAATCCGTCACGTTCCTTCTGACTGTCGTTGCTGTCTCTCCCTTCTCGACGGTCTGCGCTTGCTTGTGCGTCTTGGGTCCGGGGTTGTGTTTTTGTGTGAACACAGAACACAGCGCCATAGAAGGTACTTTCTTCTCAATAACAAGGCTGTGAACGTCGTCTCCGTGCGATTTCGGGCCCGGGGTTGTGCGTTTATGTGAACGTCGTAGCTCACTGAGGAGGGAGTGGGAAAGTTCCGCGCGGTTGAAGTACCATGCCTGCCCGCCGGGACCGCGTGCAGAAAGCCCCACCCATCGCCAACGCCGCAGCAGCATCGAGCGGCGCGTCCTCCCCATACCCCCAACCAGCGGCGTGTATTGCACCATAGGTCGTCGGCTTTGCCGACGCCGACGGGCGACGTGGACGGTACACAGCTCACAGGGACGGGCGAAAACCACGTACGTACCCGAACAAGCATGAATGATCCAGACACCAGAGAACGGGGCATTGTACTACATAGTGCGGGACCTGGGGCAGCAACCAACAAAGAAGAACAACCAGTGAGGGAGGGCGAGACGATCGAGGGGTCCCGTACCATGCGGAATCGACCCTATCCGGTCTGCTCAAGTGCTCAACAACCTGGATGGGGGGTGCTGCGCAACCGACGCCAACCAGCAGCGTTCACAGCACAGTGCGAGACTAGGGGTGCAACCTGGTAAAGAACTCGCTCGCAGTCGGGGAGGTTTGGGTCGGTTTTCTTTTACTTTTTACTCTTGTCCGAAGAGACCACTTGCCAAAAAACTCATGTCTTGAATGTCCGATAAAAGCCCACATATAGGCACCTTACACTCCCCCGCAGTATCGCACCTCTTGAGCGACACTACGTTTCCGCAGCTGGGGATTCTCCGGGTACCCCTCTTTGTACCCGTGCTGGCCGGATTCCCCCAGTCTCGAACTGGCAGCCACTATCTCACCGGAGGTACCATGTCCGAGTAGGCCACCGGCCAAAAGCGCATGTCTTGAAGGTCCGATGATCACAGATCACTGGAAGCCCATATCTCTCTCTCTCTCTACTCGTAGGCACCTTACAACTCTTCTCTGGCCGCTCCTACGCACGTCCTCCAACGCCCGGAGAGATTGCAGTAGCCACTCCGACCTCCAGGTCAGAGCTTTCGGGAGATGATACTGCATCCGGTGGCGCCCGCACCGGACGCCACGCCAAGCGAGGCCGTTGCTCCTCCAGCGGCGCCGCCAGCTCCAGCAGTGCGAGGTGCGAACGTCGCCTCGCTTCGCTCGCCATTCTTCACGCTGCCACCGGAGCCCAAAAAGCCACTCCGCAAGGCCAGCGCGCCACCCGCGGCTGACGCAGCAGGCGCGCGGCGCGAGTCGACAGAGCCCCGCAGGAGCCGCCGCCAGATCCATAATCCTAACCTGCGTGACACTGCGCCTGACGCGCTCTACACCCGCACGTGCCACTCGCTTGGCTGCAGTGGCCGAGAGACATCAGCAAACCTCGCCGCCGAAGCGGCATTCACCGCCGCAGAGAAGGGCGCCGCCGGCAAGGGACGCCGCTGGAACCGAGACCCCTGCGCCGACGAGGCGCTCTTCGAAGGTGGCCGAGCTCGGGGGTCGTGTGCTGAGCTTGTCGCCGCCCTGCCGAGCTGCGCCACTCTCAAGCCTGACGCTCGTCCAAAGTCCTCCGCTTCCTTCCTGGATCGGTCGCTCCCACGGCGCGGCCGGCCAACCGCGTGCGCAAGCGCCGGAGAGGAGCATGGGACCCCGGTGTTTGATCGCGCAACGGGGAGCCACCAGGTCCACGTGAGGCGCGCCTGCGCGCGATCGGGCGACGCGCAGGCGGCCGCACTCGCCCCGCAGTCAGTGGCGGCAGTGGTATTTGGGCCGGTGGAGCAAGGGGCGGCTGTCGGTGCCGAGACGAACAGCTCGCTCCGGGCGGCGGCGGCGTTCCAGGACGCCGCGGGTATCGCCACCGCCTCGCCGCAAAACCAGCAGCATCCGGGACGGCCGCATGCTCCGGCGCTCGCCCACCTTGAGCGCCGGCCACGATGGCAGCTTGACGCAGGATTCCATACGCATGTGTAGGCGTCGCCGCGAACACCACCGCTTACGGGCGCCTCAGGTGTCCACTTGTGCGGTGCGACACCGCGCTGTGCCGACGACATCGGCACAAGGACCCCCACGGCTGGGCCGGAAGCCCGGAGCGGCGCCCGTTGCTTGCGTCACCACGAGCCCAAGAAGCGGCCTAACAATGGCGTGGCGGCGCTGATGCACGAAGGGAGCCACGCGGACGAGCCGCCGTCTCGCTTCACCGAGATGCATCTCGAGAAGGCGTCCCTCAACACACATGACTCCTCGACTGCCGCGCCCTGCCCTTCTCACAACTCGCTCTCGCCGCACCAACGTAGACGCGAGAGACTCAGCGGCGTGCCTTTGAGCGCCGGCAGCAAGCCAGCAAGGCATCGTGCTAGCAAGCACGCCGGCCAGAGGCGCCCCATTCACGTCGCTCGAAGTTAGTTTAGGCAGCGGAATGCTTCCGCTCTGAGAGCCAGTTGCAGCTCAATCTGGGTGCTGGCGGCGCGAAGCCAATGGGCGCGAATTCTAAGCCGGAGTGGCGGAACTGAGGATCTCGAATATCATCCAGGGCGCTGAGCCTGAGGACCCACAGTTTGGGGTCTGAAGTTGTCGCATGTGTGCGGACTCCTTCAAGTACAGTGTAATAAACGTAAGCGGCAAAGGCGTGGCTGCCAAAAACAATACGTCACCTCAAGCGGCAAGCGCGCGACGCCCCCACGCCCCTCACCTCGCCCCCCACACACCCTGCCTGAAACAACAGCGCAAACACGCGCACACCACCCTCCCACAGCACAGCCCGGGCGGGCCTGCTAAGCTCCAGCGGCAAGCACACGTACAGCGCCAAGGACACGACGGAGAGAGAGGCGAGTCAGATGCGCGGAGAGAGCGCGAGCGAACACGTGCAAGACCAGCGCAGAGAGCACCCGCCGGCTAGTGCCACATCACCGTGGCGAGGTCCCCGAATCGCCGGCTGCGGTCGCGTGGCACCCAATCCCAGACGTGCACGAGCCGCCCGCCCTCCTCGGCCTCCGAGGTCTGAAAGCGCGCGGTCGGGAGGTCGCGAACCCTCGCCTGGAACTCGTGCAGGTTGTAGTGGGAGAGGAGAGTCGGGTAGGAGTCCGAGTCGCGGGTCTCTCGCCACTGGCGGAGGCTGGACGCGTCGAGAAGAACGTTTTGCACGGTGGCGAACCCTCCCAGCTCCTCCCGCAGGCCACGCAGCGCGGCCTCCAGCGGCGCCTCGCGGTAGGTGAGCTTCTCGGAGAGAGGGCGGCCGCGGCGGCGCAAGCGTCCGTCTGGCAGGCTCTGAAAGAGCTCGATCAGCTGCAGCTCGTCGCTCGGACCGCTCACGTCGTCTGCCCACGGCGAGATGCACACTTTGGCGACGTTCACCCAGCGGCGAGCCGCCGATGGACCAAAGGTGAGGATTGATTCGCCGTTTTCGAGCTCGCGCAAAAGGCTCGAGGCAGTGCGTGCGGCACCGCGGCCCCACAACGCCGTGTCCACGCCATGGCCGACCAGAGCTCGCTCCAGCTCCAGTGGGCAGGAGAACGTGCCGGCGCCAGCCGTCCAACAGTTCCTCGCTAGGAGCTCCAGCTCGGTGGTGGCTGAAGTGGACGCCAGTGACATGTGTGCGTGAGGGCGGGCGCTGAGGGCCGCACTGGCGGCACTCATACTGAGCAGCATCGGACTCGCCGGCAGCAGCAGCAGCAACACGTGCGAAGGTCCGCGGCAACTAGGCGCGAGGGACGCACGAAGATGCTAACGTATCCAATTCTTTTTTCCATGGTGTACCTGTGTTAGTGCCAGTGCGCGCCAGTCCCGTGCCCAGTGTTGTGCGATGCAGCCGAAAATTCTTTTTCCACGACCTCCCAATACGCCAGGCGTGGTGGAGGTACTAAACGACACACACACAACATTGTAGATGAAGCAGAGGTCGCTTGTGGTCGGCCTGCTGCTCCTCGTCTTCGTCGTCGCACGCGCGAGTTCATCCCTGGTCGCCACCAGCCGCAGAACGGCCATTGCGCTCGCCGCTGGCCTCCCTTCAGCCGCCAGCGCGCTGACCGATGGCCAAAGGATGCAGGTGGACGCCGAGCTGACGACCAGCCCGCTCATCGAAGAGCTTAGGGCGAAGACAGCGGCAAACAAAGAGAAGAATGAGGCGGCGGTGAGGCAGCTCACCAGTACGATGGGGAGCGTCTACGATCCGCCCCTCAAGTTGGTGCGCTATCTGGGAGAAGGTGACTCCATGCCAGTCACACGAATGGTTACCCCGGAGCAGATCAAGGAGCTGAACGCGCAGGGCTACGAGCTCGACTGCCCGAAGAGTGGATCAGCATGCGGTCTGATACGGCGTTAGCGCGTCGAGGTTGCCTGCAGCCTGGCAGCAACGACTCTAAAAAAGACTCTCCCAGAAGCCGAACGCGCCGCCGATTGTCCGATCTGTTTCCTCTAGTCACCAACACAGGTGTATTTATTTTGCAGAAAAAGAAATTTTGATCCCTCACGATGTCAACCCTCCCAAATGGATGTGCTTGTAGGGCTTGAGAGTGGCCTACCAAAAATCTAAGGGTAGAATTCTCTTTCCTTGCGAGGGGAGTAGGAAAAAATTCTTTCCCCACACTCTCTCCACACTCCTCCTTAAAATCCCTGTGTGGTGGCGGCGTGTGCCGTCCTGCCGTCCTCCCATCCCTCCCTGGAGAGACACACAACGAAGAAATAAATAAATAAACAAAGAGTTGAGAAAAGCCAAATTCCAAAATAAACAAAGAGTCGTAGCGGAGGTCAGCACGAGTTCCAAGGACGCACGAGCGAGAAGCACAGCAGAGCAGACAGATGACGATCACCACCCAGCGCACGACCGCCAACTCTCCGGCGCAGGCCGCGAAGAACCGAGTCCGGGGGCCGACGGTCGCGGCGCGGCGGCGCAGTGGACGCAGCCCGGTTCGCAGCTTCGCGAGCTACGGGGGCGGCCACGGCACGGCCCGGTGGCCGCCCCCGCAATGAGGCCAAGCGGTGGGCATCCGGCAAAAGCCGCAAGACGGGATTCGCGAAGGCGCGGGCCACCTTCCGCGGCGGAGGCCAGCGCGGCGGCTGCGGAGAGGCACGACAGCATGATGACAAAAGCACGCTGGCGGGGCACCGAGGCAATCGCAAGGGAGACCCCAGCGGGCTCTTTGTCGGTCGCATCGATGCCGCAACGCAAGGACTACACAAACGACGCCGAGCACCACGGCAAGTTCCAGGTGTGGCTCCAGGCAGGCAGCTTCCAAGGCAAGGCGCGTGATGGTGCGCGGCGGTGCGGGCAGAGCACGCCGCTCCCTTAGGCTCACCCGTGTGTTTGTCTTTATAGGAGCGGCAGCAGCGGGTGAGCGCGCAGTACGAGAAGCGGGTGCTGGGTTTCGATGCGTGGATTCAAAAGCAGGGGTATCCGAATATAATAAATAGAGCAGTCATCTCCAGGGAGAGCATTTCGGGCGACGCACACGAACACAGAGGGACAGTGCGCACACCCCGCCCCGCTCGCAGGGCGTAATAAATAAAAACGGACACCTCTCTACTGTGAGATGGGTAAAAAGGAACAAAGAGATGCCCTCAAACACATCGGTCATCGCGATTTGCAGGGTGGAGGGTGCCTGCTGTCTCGCAGTGAAACCGCCCCCTTCCCAACCCGCTCAGGGACGGACGCATTTCCCCCCTTTCAAAGGCGGTTTCGAAGTTGATGAGACCTCGTCCCCCCCTCTCCAATGAAAAGCGTAAAAAGAGGCGCGTTTCAGGCCGGAAGCGCCGCTTGGACGTGGGTCACACAACGGCAGCGCTCCAGACGCGCTCTGGTAGCTGCCAATGAAGCTGCAGCCCATCGCGCACGCGCCGGACGGCCGCTGCACCTCCACTGCAGTGCCCTCCTGCACCGAGCGACACGTCAAACCTTTGTTGCTGCCGATGACCGCTGGCGGCTCCGAGCTCGGGTGAGCGAGCCCTGGCTGAGCTGAGCCATTGCGGTCGCAACGCAGCGCTGCGGTCGGTGCAGAGCGGCCGTGCGCGTACGGCGCCGTACGCGCACGGCCGCTCTGCCTCAGTGGCGTGCGGCTTGGGCCAACTGAAGGTCGCTCTCCGACCTCGCTCGCCGAGCTCACAATCCGGCGCGAGCCGTATCGAGTGGAAGTTCGACTTCAGCTGCCGCGAGTGGATGGACTGCCTTGTCGAGTGCGAGCAGTTGGGCTCCGCCGGGAGCATGTGGTGCAACATGTTCTCTGGGGGCCAGCAGACGCAAGCGCGCGAGCGCGTGTTGAAACGGACGCTCCATAGCAACACTCGAGATACACTCCAAGATTCACTCCAGGGGGGTGCACGTTTTCTTTTCGGGTTTCGTGGGTTCCTAGTGCACTTGGAACCGACGAAACCGAAGCGGGTTGGGGGGGGTTCGGTTTCACTGCGTAAACGAGTGTAAACGAACACGTGCGGGGCTGTGCCCATTGGGCGCGAACGGAAACTGAATATTGGTGCATTGTTGAATCCTGGGCGAGAGCACGAGCGGCACACGACATTCCACACCGCAAATAAATAAACAAAGCGTCAATAAATAAAACGGACACACCAAACAAGGGGTGGGAGAAGGACAGGGTCCCCACCTGCGCGAGCAGGATCTTGTAACACTGATTACCCGACCGTTTCTTTGATGGGGAGGGGGGGGGGGGCGCTTCTTCGTTATTTATTAGCTTGCTGGCAATTCGCGCCCCTCCTCGCCGAGTGCATGAGCATCGCAGGCGAGTACCATGCCACGAAGGAGCACATGGGCTGCGGGTACACCTCCACGTGGACAGTCACTGCGGTCGACGACGACACGGTTGTCGTCAGCGAGCATTGCGGCTCCTACTGCTGCGGCTGCGTGCCCAATCCGTGCCCGAAAGCAGGGTGTTGCGCGCATCACATGACGAGAGCGAGCGACGGCTCGTACAGTGGTCGCCTGGGTGGCAAGCCTATCAAACTCACGGCGCAGCCTGATGGCACGCTGCACCACCTCACCACCGACGGCCCCATGATCATGACGAGAAGGTGAGAGATGAGCGCTGCCTCGTCGGACGAATGCTGTGTGTAACTACGCGGCTATCGGCTATGACATCCTTGAGGTGCACCAGTGACTGTTACACGTCAGCGAGTCAGTGGCCAGACCCCCTATCCGGCGTAAAGGGTGTCACTCGAGATTAGAGCGCCAAATAGGCGCGCGGGAGATCAGCGGGCCCCGGAAGTGGGCGCAATACACATCACGAAAGTCGAAACCGTCGCCCAAAACCCCCAATCCACGTGCGCTGGCCACCGGTCGCTCATGCGCTCGGCGCCGGGCGAGGCCGGGCGCGCGAGCGACAGGAGGCGCCGCCGAGGATGGCAGTCGTGACGGCGGCCGCAGTATTCGCGCGTAGACCGCGCGCCCCGCTCCGTGTTTGCAGACCGCCTTCGGGCGGACTCGTTTACACGACTTTTGAACCGATTTCATCGGGAATTCGGGAAAATTCCGCTTTTTGTGCGGATCCTGCTTTTTATTTCTCTCCCTAGACCCGTGCCTAGTGTCGTGCGAGCGAGGGAGTTTTGTTGTAAAATTCTCTCCCATGCCTTTCTGGACAGGGTGGCCCGCCACAAGGACCCCAGGAATTGCGACTCGCCGCTTTCCTCCCACTGTGATTCTGTGTGAGCTCTTCGATTTGCCAAAAAAACACCTAGCCTGATCCCGCGGAATTTTCTTTCTCGGCTAATGGGAGTGTAGCTACCTTACGCAAAGCTTCTCGTTGGTCCGACGGCCTGGACCGCCCCCCGACCATGACTCCGACCCTACGCTCACACCGTTCGCCATCGCTGCCGCCTCGACGTGCGCGCACCCACGCCTCACTCCCGCCAAGCCGTGGAGCCCTCCACTGACTCCTCGCGCCCGTTCGTAGTGGTGGTTCCGGGAGCAGCTGTGGTGGGCGACTCGAGCAGCCCCTCCACCCCGAGTGGAGCGCTGCGCCGGTGCAACCTCTCCTTCTCCCTCATGTTCTCCGACGGGACGGACGGGACGCCGCCGGCAGACGTGGCTGCGGCGGGCGAGGCGCCCTCGGCGGCGGCGGCGGTGCCCTTCTCCGTGGCCGCTGCCTCCGAGCCGTCCTCGCCGTCGAGCCAGCGGGCGGGGCCGTCCCAAACGCCATGGGGCCCGACTCAGATCCCGCCCGCGCGACATCCGCCAGCCCGCGGTCGTGGCGGGCTTGAGGGCGGCGGCAGCATAGTCGGCGGCAGCTCTGGCATCTCCATCCCTGGCGCGGCCGGCGGCGGGGACGAGTCCGCCCTCGACGCCTCGCTGCACTTGCTCGCCGCGGCGCGGCAAGAGCGGTGGGCGAATGCGGGCGCCGCGCGTTTTGTCTAGGCCGCGGTGTTGTTCATCATGGCAGGTCAAGTAAACAGGACCTGCACCAATTTTTGGCGCCACCGCCGGGCCAGGGTTTGCACAGGCGTGGAGAGCGAGGCAGCGATGCTCCGACCCCATTCTGGCCAAGTGCCCCTAGCTGGCGCACTGTCTCCATTGACAGAGGTACACGAGGTTCTGCTTTTCATCATGGCATGACATACAGTAGACGCATGCGGCATGGGGTAGGCCTGACATATACATGTTGTTGTTGTTGTTGTTGTTGTCATGTCATGTAGGTGATAGCCATGTGTAGGAGAGGTGTCGTTGTCTTTCAAGCTTCGACATAAACTCTCGGAACTGGCGCGCGCCGCGTCGGCCCGCGGCGCGGTCGCACCGCTCGACACCGCTCGAACCACTCGACGCCGCTCATATCCAGCCGGCGGCGCGGCCTGCCAGTAGGGGGTGCGCAGCGCCCCAAAATCCACCAGTGTGGGATTTCGCGCAATCGCTTGACTCTGAAAAGCTGGCTATGTACCTTTCTGAGCGCTGTGGTCGCCGCAGACTGGCTCCAACTTGACGGCGGCATGGAGACGTGATGCCTTCATGCCGCCGTCAAGTCGAAATCGACACACAGCTCGATGGTTTGCCCGAAAAGGTACGTAGCGGCGTTTTGGGCGACAACAGCGCTGCGACCGCGAAGTGGCGGTGGACATGCTCCCACGTTGCCGACGCAGCGCCGGAGTGGCCGGCGCTGCTCGCCGCGACCACGACGGCTACTCTGATACTCCGGGCCGACCCGTCCTACCCGACGGTGGCACTCTTAGACGTCTCGCTCACGCTGAGAAAAATTCTGAAACGGCGTGCAGCAGAGTCACCGACGAGACGATCCGCGTGCCTCCTCGTGTCCCGTACCGTTCTCACACATCCATAAACTCACTTTGGCCTCACTGAAGCGATGCCTGAATCCTGAATCCTCAGATTTTAGATTAGGACGCTGCGCACCCTCTACTGCCAGCGGGGCTCTCTTCTTGCTTTTCTGACTGCAAAACTTTATACCCTCCCCCTCGCCGCCGGGGGCCAGCCGCCGTCGAGCCCGCCGAAGCGGCGCTGGCGGCGACGGCGGCGGCGTCGGCAGGGGAGGCGCCGTGGGAGGGTGCCCCGCTGATGGCAGCTTTGCAGTTTGCTGCCATGCAGATCGCTGCGAACAACAGGCTGGATGCCTAGGCCCCCACCAGGCCCCCACCAGGCCTGCGCGTTCCAACCGGTCCTCTCTCGGACGCAAGCCTCATGTGTTCTACTGTGGAGCAGTGTGCTGTGGGGAGAGCTAGGGGAGAGGCGACGATGGTTTCATTGGTTACAGCAGTTCTGCTATTGAGTATAGCCCCGCGCTAGCCACACGGACGACGAGGGAGTCGACGAGAGAGACAGGAGCGCCTCGGCGGACCGACGAGATGGCCTTTATCGACGATGCGTTCTTCGAGCCTCCCGACGTGGCAACGGAGGGAGAGGCGGAGGGCGGGGGGAGCCAGAGTCAGTACAGCCAACAGAGCCAGGGGGGCGAGAGCGAGGGGAGCCAGAGCAGCCAGGGCAGCCGACGGGCGCCCAGGAAGAGCCAACGGAACCGAATAGCCGCACAAGTCAACGCTTCCTGGACCGACTCCGTTTCGAACTCCAGGAGGCGGCGGCGGGGACGGATACAGACACCCCGAAGACGGCAACGACGGCGACGAAGATGGAGGGAGAGTCTCACCCCACCTTACCTCTGCCCCCCCCCTCCCCCCATCCCTCTGCCTCCCATAGGGCAGGTCAGCACTAGCATATGCGCCTAAGTGCGCACACACTGGGCCCACATAGATGTGACCCGCCCGCTCGGAGTGCGGCGCCCGGATGCTAGTGCTTGAGAAGACACCACAAACGCGGCACGGCCCGTTTTGACTGTCTGCGGAGATTCTGTCTTAGCACACACAGTGAGTCATTCGGAGTCATTCGATGGCCAGAGTGCGATTGTGTGTGTGCGGGGGAGTTGGTTTGTCGGGAGGGAGGGGCAGGCTGCTCACCCACACGTGCACCGGGCCAGTGCTTGCACTTTGAATGCCGTGGGGCTCCTGCCCGTGTCCGGGTGTGGAGATGCGAGGATCGCCCCCCCTTGCCCCACCACTTTGTGTGTGTGGAGAAATCTACCTTACCCTTACCTCGACCAGACAGCAGCTCGAGACACCCCCTCTCGGAGTGGCTCTCGACACCGGGCCTCGACACCGCTCCGGTGTCCGGACACCAGGGCTCAGCGCCGCGCATGAACGGGAAATCATGCTTTTTCGGAGACGCGCGGTCTGCCCTTGATAAAATGCACAGACACACACACACACACACACACACACACACACACACACACACACACACACACACACACACACACACACACACACACACACACACACACACACACACACACACACACACACACACACACACACACACACACACACACACACACACGCACGCACGCACACGCACACACACACACACACACACGCGCGTGCGCGCGCGCGCACACACACACACATTGCTAATAACTAACCTCTCAACTCGCGCCTACTCGCCGAGCGAGCGATGTGCCTAATACTTTGCCCCCGAGCGAGCTTGGTCGTTGGTGCTCGCGGGCGGGAGAGCGCACGCACGGCGCGCGAGAGAGAGACCTGGGGCGCGAGAAGCGCGCGTTCTCTATTGCAGTTCTCTATCTCTGACTCCCACTCCTCTCCTAGTCGGCGCGGAGGCCAGAGTTGCGCAACGTGAGGATCGCGGCGAGCCGCCGCTCCTGCTGCCGCAACGCGCAGAGGGCGGCAGAGAGCCGCCCTGTCGCGCTGGTGCAAGTGAGCGCGTGCGCGCGGATCTGTGGGCCAAGCGTCGCGGCGGCGGCAAAGGAGAGGAGCTGCCGCTCAGCGGCTTGCTCGCGGTGGAACGCCTACGTCACGGGGAAATCTCAAGGTACTGATGTTCCTCTGGTGGCAACACACGGGCTGCGAGCGCGGTGAGATCGGCTGAACACGGCCGAGTATTTGTCTTCTCGAGGGCCAGTCGGAAGGCAGACCTGTGAACACAGCATCTAGAGCGGCACGCCCCCGACCCGGGCGGTAAGCCCCACAGCTCCGCAAGCGTCTCGCCAAGAGGCTCGTCGGCGGAGGAGGCGGCCTTCCCCTCGGGGAGGCCCTGCTTGGCCATCCAGGCGGCCCGGGCAGAGGCCTCTAGGTCCGACAGCGGGGCGGGTGGACCGGCGACGAGGGGAGCCCGGCTGCCGGCCGAGAGAGGCGGCGGTGCGTCGTGCGACGACCGGAGAACTGCGCGACGCGCCTCGATGAGAGCCGCCAGCGGAGCGGCGCGCTCGTCGCCGAGCGATCGAAGCTCCTCGCGCAGTCTGGCAGCCTCACCCTCGCCCTCGCCCTCGCCGTCGCCCTCGCCGCCGTTCGAGCCGCCGTCGCCCTTGCCGTCGCCGCCCTCGCCACCGCCGCCAGCCGCCTCGGCGCTGTCGCGCGTCGTCTCCTCCGGCAGAGGGACATCGTCGCCCACCGGGCAGGACTTAGCGCGGAGGGCGTCCCACAGCCGCGCGCGCAGCGCGGCGACGCGTGCGTGCGACTCGCGCACCTCTCCCTCGAGACTCCGCAGCAGCTCTCGCGCTTGCCCCACCACCTCGGCCTCCGATATGCCAGCCTGGGGAGGGGCCGGGGGAGGCCTCGGCCTCCGATATGCCAGCCTGGGGAGGGGCCGGGGGAGGAGGCTCCGCGCGGCAGTAGGGCAGGAGTCGGGGCGGCACCCTCCCGCGTCTTTACACCCTGTGAGACGGGCAGGAGACCCTCGGCGCCCAAAGCGCCGGCCCGGTGGTGCGCGGGAGCGAGCTGCCTCCTCCGCTGAGGCCGCGACGGCGCGCGCGGCTGCGTCTGCGTCGGCCTGTGACACCGCGCCAGCGGGCCCGTCCTCGGCCGCTGCCGAGAGCGCGTCCTCCATCGCCTCCCTCTCTGCGTCGGCGTCCTCGTCGTCGTCGCAGTATGGCTCGACCAGCGCGACCAGAAAGCCGCCCTCGCCGCCCGGCAGGCGAGCCTCGTCCGGCTGACTCAGCCCTAGCACCCCGACCCGGCCCACGCAGCGGATGCTCACTAAGGTCGCGCCGCCCTCTTCGTCCTCGCACGCCTCCAGCTCGAGGAGGCCGGAGATGCCCACCACCTCGTCCTCGCCGCGAAGCATCAGCTGGCCGCAACAGGAGGATGTTTTTGAGGCCGCATACTCGACGAGCAGTCTCGCGGTGGGATCGGACAGGGCACGCGTCTGCGCCTCTCCAGGAAGCAGCGGGTCAGGCCCAAGAGCAAGCAGCGGCAGCTCCAGCGGCGACGCCGGGGGCTCAGGCAGCGCACCGCCGATGATGAGCGGCGGCGGCGCGGGCGATCCGCGACCGGAGAGCCAGGCGCGGGCCGAAAGCGCGGTGGTGGCGCGGGTCGATAGGAGGCAGACAGCGACTGAGTTCAGCGCAAAGCTGCGCATGATGGGAGAGAGTTGGAAGGAAACGAGTAACCCGCGCATCCATTTTCTGCAGGGAATATTTGTCGGACTCCTGAGACGAGCGAGGGCAGCCTCCTTAAAGGCGAAAGGGTCTAGATTTGGAGCGCTCGCCGAAGAGGAGTACGACAAAATAGCGCCCGTGATTGCCTGCACGCTACCCGCACTCACGGACTCCATACCCGAAAGAAAGAGAAGGGAGCTCGCGGGAGAGGTGACGAGTGAACTGCAGGTAGTGGGGAAGGCAGCCTCGATTGCCATACAGACATGGGTGCGAAACAACGACAAGACCAAGGCACGGGCAGAGGAACGAGAGAAGAATATAGGGTGGATAAAGCGCCTGTTCACGGCATGAGCGAGCGAGAGGCTGCCGCCCCCGCGCCGCCCGACGATGGATGTCAGGGCGAGTGGCGGAGGCTCCTCCCCCTCTCGCGCCAGCCTGTCTCTGCGACCGTGTGGCCCGGACGCCCCCCACTTGGGGCAATGAAAGAAAGAAATTTGGTCCCAGTTTTTCTTTCGCACTCGCTCTCGCGCGCCTGGTCAAGGGTGCCGCTCCGCGCAGCTCGCGCACACTCGGTGGCGCGCGCGCCAGGCGCGGATCGATGCTGAGGTCAGCCGTGCCAGCCGGCATCAATGTGCCAGCCGGCATCAATGCCACCGCCCACGACTCTTCCGCCATGAATGCACAAATCATGCTCTCGTTCGCCAACACGCCGCAGCCAGGCACCGAAGGGGCAGACGACGATCATGATGAGACTGGCAGCCAGCCTGCGGCGGAGGATCTGGTGCGCGCGCGCGCGCGCTCCTGCCGTTCCCGGCGCCCACGCTCCTGCGGACGGCGTCTCGCGCCGCGCCTCGCTTGCCAGAGGAGGGGGTCTCTGCGCTCGCTGCTCGCTGCCCATGTCGCTTCCCCACGCGGCAGCCTCCTGCCCAGCCTCCACCGCGCGGGCCCGACGGCGTCGACCGCCGGCGCGCAGGCGATGCCGAAGCAGAAGACCTGCCGCTACGACAGCAGCCTCGGCCTGCTCACCAAGAAATTCGTGACGCTCATCCAGACGGCGCCCGAAGGGATCCTCGACCTCAACCAGGCGCGCCATGAACCGTGCCCGCGCGCGCCGAGAATTAGCCGCGGCACACCCCAGCGGGCCGCTTTGCCCGAACACACGGCAGCGGCGCGCGCTTTCCCTCGAAACTAGCGGCGCGTCTGAGGGGTTGCGGCGCGGTGGGGCTCCGAGGCGGCGGCGGCCCGCGGCCTTCCGCCTTTCCTGCCACGCGTCGCTTATTTTGGCGCCGCCACTCTTTTGCCGCCGCCCGCCGCACCGCCTCCGCGCCACGCCGCCCCCGCCGCCACCGACCCGCGCCCCCGCGAGATTCGTTTCGCGCCCCTCGCCTCCCCCTCTGCGCACCTCATCCGCCGCTGCTTTGCCGCTCTCGCCCCCGCCGCCGCCGTGGCTCACGCTTCCGCCGTGGCGCACGCCAGGCCGCGACCCAGCTCAACGTGCAGAAGCGGCGGATCTACGACATCACCAACGTGCTCGAGGGGATCGGCCTGATCGAGAAGAAGTCGAAGAACAACATTCAGTGGAAGGGGATGGGCCCGAACGGTGCGACCGCCTCATGAAGCCCGGCGCCTCGACGCGCGAACGGCGCCGCTTCACGGGGCCCAGCTGTGAACAGGATCCAAGGACCTGGAGGACGAGCTCGAGAAGATGCGCGACCAGGCGCGCGATCAACCCGAAATCCCCCCCCCCCCCCCCCACACCATGCCGCCTCTGCTTATTGCCCCTGGTGCCGCTGCAGGTGCGGACGTACACCAGCCAGGAGCAGTGGCTCGACCAGTCCATCGAGCAGATGCAGGCGGGAGGGAGACCTGCGAGACCCCTCCGCCTCCCCACCCACCGCCACACGCACGCGCCTCTTTGTCTCATCCCCACGGCCCCCCGCCGCTCTCTTGCGATTTGCTGCCCGCACTGCACCGCAATGGCACCGCAATGGCGAGCACCGTGCCGGCCTGCGGCGCGTCCGTGACACGTCCCACGTGCGTGTGCCACGCCCCACGTCCGTGACACGCGCGTGCGCCGTGCCGCGCAGGCGTCGCTACGCGCGCTGGCGGAGGACGCGGCGAACCAGGAGCATGCCTTTGTCACACACGAGGACATCCGCAACATCTCCGCGTTCTCCGCCGACACGATCATCGCCATCAAGGCGCCGTCGGGAACCACGCTGGAGGTGCCCGACCCGGATGAGGGGATGGAGTCGGGGCAGCGGCGATATCAGATCTACCTCAAGTCGCAGACGGGGCCCGTCGAGGTCTTCCTCGTCTCCCCAGACGCGTCGGATGGCGCGGCCAGCGGCGAGGCGTCCACCTCGGCGGGCGCAGCCCCGGCGGAGCCCTCCGCCAACGGCGGCGCGGCGGGCGGCGCGGCGGACAGCGGCGACGGGAGCGACGCGGCGCGGAGAAAACGGGCGCGCACCGACGAGGCCGGCAGCAGCAGCGCGGGCGCCGCGGCGCCGGCAGCGTCGCCCGAGCGAGGCGGCAAGCGGAGCGACCCGCTGCTGAAGCTCTCGCCCGTGGCGGCGGCGGGCGACTATTGGGACGTGCAGCCCGATGCTGTCGGCGTGTCGGAGCTCTTTGCAGGCAGCACGGCCGAAAACCCGAGCGGCGGCGGTGCGGCGGGCGGCGGCAGCGCGGGTGCGTGCGCGGGAGATCCCCTGCATTCGCCCACACACGGGGGGGTGGGGGGGGGGGGCACAGCCTCCTGCTCAGCGGCCCTTTACCCTCTCGCCACTCAGCGGCCCTTTACCCTCTCGCCACTCAGCGGCCCTTTACCCTCTCGCCACAGGAACGGGAGGCGTCGTCAAGGTGGCGATGGACTAGCGGGCGGCAGTGGGAGTGGGCGGCACGCTTTGGCGCGGGAGGCGGCCATTCAACGACGGGCGGACGCGCGGGCCGCGCCGTGCCCCCTTCGCCTCCCCCCGCCCTACCCCGGGTCCGCACCAGCCCATCCCATCCTACGTGACGCCGCGGGCAGCGTCCATGCGATTGCGCCGGGCGGCTCCGCCGCTTCCCGGAGACTATACTACGTGGGGAGGGACCGGTCCCGGTGGCATGGAGAGGGAGGCGGAGGAGGAGCCCGCCGCGCCGCAGCGGCGGCGGCAGAGCGCCGATGGGCGGCGCTCTCTGTACTGCTTGGTTTCGGGTGGGGCCCGGCGGGGTTGGGCCGTGGCAGTCATACGGTGCATATCGTGGAGTCTGTGGGCTGCAGGACGGTGACGCGGCAGGTCGGAGGTCGGCGCACGGCGGTCCGTCGCCCTAGTTGTTTTTTTGAGCGCGGAGGGGTGGAGGTTACCGCAATGGAGCCGTCGAGCGGCGGGGCATATGCGACTCAGTCATCTTTCTTTTTCCTGGTGACCTGTCACCTGTGTTATAGTGCCCCAGTGCGCGCGCTGAGGTTAAGGTAAGGTACGTACGGCTCTAAGGTAAACTCCTCTTCTCCACACACACCGGTCACCGCGACGCTCGACGGGCGTGGTGGGGCAAGGGGGGGCGACCCTCGCGTCTCCACGTCTAACGACAGGAGCCCCACGGCATCGTAAATGTGCAAGGCCCAGTGCGCGTGGGTGAGCGGTGTGTGTGTGTGTGTGTGTGTGTGTGTGTGTGTGTGTGTGTGTGTGTGTGTGTGTGTGTGTGTGTGTGTGTGTGTGTGTGTGTGTGTGTGTGTGTGTGTGTGTGTGTGTGTGTGTGTGTGTGTGTGTGTGTGTGTGTGTGTGTGTGTGTGTGTGTGTGTGTGTGTGTGTCACGTCACTGCATCCTCTGCCGGTTCCTCACGTCGCCTCTTCTTTGTTCGAATGTTTTTCAATCCATCCTTCACGAAGCCCTCCCATGTAGCTAGCGTTCTTTGCGAATGTCTCGAAATGGCCAGCAGGCGCTGTCTCGTGCTCGCGGCCTGTGCGGGCCGCTCGTCCTCCTCTCCCTTCTTTCGCGCGCTGAGGGGGACGGGAGGGTGTAGAGCTAGAGGATTGTAGAGTGTATAGTCTATAGAGCGCGCTGTAGAGCTGTGAGAGATGTAGAGCGCTCTGGAGCGCTGTAGAGCTGTAGAGCTCTACATCCGGCGCGGGACGATGTGAGTCCGATGTAGAGCGATGTAGAGCGCGATTTTGCGGTAGAGTTTGTTTTGTAGAGGCTCTAGCCTCTACAGCCAACCCGCCGGGAAGGCAGTGACTCAAAGAGGGCGAGCCGCGCTAATGGGGTGTCTCCGAGCTTACTGGAGCTCTGATAGACAGCCCTGACTATCCCTGACACACAGAGAGTCACTCTGACGGCACACAACACCCTATAACTGCGTCATCCGTCATGACCAGCCTGCCATGCGTCGCCGGTGCCGCATTCGTCGCTGTGCTTCTTTAGCAGGCGGTGGACTGTCGGCTGCGAGGACGGTGGTCGCATTTGCGCGAGCCGAGGCGAGCATTGCTGCGCGTTGCATGCGCCATGAGTCGCGCAAGCGCGTGCGGGAGCTCCTGGCTGAGCGTTGAGTCCAGGCGAGTTGTGCTGGCCACGATCGCTACGCCGAGCCGAGCTGACGCGCCGAGGCGCCGGCCAGTCGCAGCCGTGAGGCATGCCACAGCAGCAGAGGCACCTGCCACCCATTGGGCGGGCAGGCAGACGGCCAGGGCAGCACTGCAGTCTCGCTCCCAATACGTGGGGACTTGGCTGTGGAGAACGCACGAGCCAGAGCGTTCGCCGTTGAGAAGCGGAAGCACTCGTTAATTTCTGTAGCTGGAAATTAATTTCTGTAGCTGGAAATTAATTTCTGCGTCGTCTGGCGACGGGTCCTCCATAGTCGGTTGAGGTCGCCGCCCTCCTCGTGCCTCTTCCCACGTTCCCTCGGCGGCCGATGCCGTCTGCTCCGGCTCCGCCGTCCCCGGGTCTGCCCTGCCCCCGTCTGCACTAGCTTCTGCCTCGTCATCACTGGCGCCTCTCCTCTTCTTTCTCCTCTTCTTGTGCCGATGGTGGTGTGCCATGCCCGATTTTATTTTAAGGAAACGGCTAAAAGTGTACAAATAGACATAATAGAGAGCTCTCTCTCTACAAATATGGCTATCAATGTGTACAAGGACCGTGCAATGCCCGCGCTGCGGACGTGCTACCTCCTTTCCCGCGAGCCGAGCGCTCGCGCCAGCTTCTCTGCAACGGCGCGCGCCTCGCTCGCGGCGTCATCGCCCTCGTGAGGCGGCATCGCCCGCAGCGTGCGGACGCACTCGCGGACCGCCTGTTGCGCGCCGCCTGCGTAGCTGGACGAGGCCATCCGAGTCACCGCCTCGAGCCACGCAGCGCGGTGCTGAGTCGGCAGCGCCGCGCCGTCGGCCCCGCGCTCGCCCGCGCCGACCAGCAGCGAACGGGCGGTGTCTTGCAGCCGCGCGCTCCCCAGAAAGAGAGCCTTGGCCGACTCAGAGAGCGCGTTTCGCGCGCGGGGAGCGAGCCGAGCGCGCGCCGCCTCGTGCAGCTGCTCCGCGGCCGCGCCCAGCACGAAGCGAGCGTCGAGCGGTGTCAGGGCTGCGTGCTGCTCGACGAGCCTGCGCACGTGCGCCTCGAGGTCCGCCGCAACCTCGAGCGCCGCCCCG